TCATTCCCCAAGGTAGTGCATAATTGTAAAGAGCAGAGAAAAGAAATGTCTTCACAGATGACTATAAATACAATCCCCACGGTAGTGGCAGCATCATACTTTGGGGATGCTTTCTTAATACAGAAAATAAGGCCTTTCAGAGCTGACAGGCAGCTGAATACAATCCTGAAATATGCATTGGAATGAGAATATCAACGTAGGGTGGAGGTGGGTTGAGGACCCAAATGCAGAGATTAGGTTTTGCTGATTTAATAGCAAACAAAAACAACACCTAAGAACAAAATGCAGAAAACCCAAAAAACTGGAGATGTCAGGGGAAATACTTGAGGATCCAAGTAACAATAAGAAACCAGCTATGAGGAACTGCAGAAGAGGTGTATATATGGGGGACCAAACAAAGAATGGGCTAATATGGAGCAGGTGTGGATAGAGGTAATTAGAAGGGAGCTATGGGAAAGGAGACTGGCACAAGGGGGTAACAGAGAGTAACTCCAAAAAAATGCAACACAGCTTAAATATAATACAAAATTGAAAAGAAACCAATGACCAACAAAACACAATGAACATAGAACTGAAAACTCAAAAAGAAGCTAAAAAAAAAGTCCAATAGGGGAGAACTTTAACAGGGTAAGGTCAAAGCACTTTCATGTAGAATGACTCAGTCAAAGTACAGTCTTTAACTCAAATAGGAATATGAACCAAAAGTTTTAAAGTTACAACACTCAAACTTTCAGATTTATTTGAAGGTAATGGTAACGCTGAAAAGGACTGATTGCGAGACTGAATACCAATCTATGTCATGCATTTTAAGACTTTTAAGTTGAAATCCTTTTTTTAAAGATGCTCTACTTTGTGTTGGTCTGTTTGGTAACAACCCACCAAAATGATTTGAAGTTTGTAAAAAGTTTAATAGTTTTCAAGTTTTTTGTGTGTGTTTTTATCAGAGTAGATTCATCGGTGTGAAACAGGGACAAGGAGGCCATGAAAAGTTCATAAAGAAAGTTAAAAAAGAGACCCTTCCATCAATTATTTCCACCTTATACAGACATAAATTTAAATCAGAGTTGACAAAGTTCATCATTCATTAATCGTTTTTCAGATGAATGGTTAAAAGGAATTAGATGTATGCATTGCATAATGACATTTAACCTGGTTTCTTTTTTTTTGTTCCATCTCTCCAGAAATGGGCTACCATAAAAACCAAACAGTTATGTAACACAACAGAAAGGATGGGGATGAGAGTGGGGGACTTAATTTTAGACTCACCTTCTACAAACTTATCATCATCACACAGGTCTTTGTAGTTATAAATAATCACATCTGATAGTTGCACAGAAAATATGTGAAAAATGAAACTGCTGATGCTGTGGGCTGCAGACAGATGGGAAGTGCAAAGCAGCTTTCTATGCTATGGGACAGGCACTCATTCAAATAGCTTTATAAAAAAAATTTTGTGGCACCACTTGATAAATAATACAATGTCTAAATGTTAGCTTAAATTATGTATTTTGAAGCAGTCAAGCATAAGTGTCTGTCTTTGTTGCAGAAAATTTCAACATCTCTGCATTTTTTTATTTATTACTTCTGCAATTATCAGTCATGTTTGTGTGAGTTTTTGCTATATCTGGTGAGAAAAACTCATGAATTAGGTCCTTTAGCTATAGGACATGATTCATTCCTAGCCGTGCAGAGATGCATAATTGTTTCTTTGTTGGGGAGGTTGTCACATCGATGTCTCTGGTCTCCTCACTGTCTACTCTCAGGCTGCAGGGAAGCCTATTTATAGATCTGTCTCTGTTCTCAGTCCCCTTGTTTCCCTTTTTTTTCTTTCCATCACTCTTTTGCCCCTCCTTTTCTACCTCTAATGGCCTGATATTTTGGGAGCTTTGCAGCTATAATCTGCCTTTAGATCTATAAGTTTCAGATCAGAGCAATTTGTTTTCTAAAACTTCTAAAACTTGATGTCAGTGTTTTTTTCTGGTGGGTTACTTTTTGGCTTGTGATCAAAAATAAAGTGGTAATTATAAATAAGCATATCTTTGGAATTTTTAAAAGCAAGCAGCTAGTTTGGTGTAATGCCCAGGCCCAAAACCTTGATTTCCTTAAGGCTTCTTCTATCCAGAAAAGCTCCATGCATGCAGAACGGTATTCAGTAAAAGCAAAAGATAATAGCAAGAGAGGCCTGACCTTGTGATAAGTTTTGAACAAATGTCCCAAACTGACAGATGAAGAAAGAGCAAAATACTTTGGTTCTTTAGATGTAAAAAAATAAATAAAAACAAGATCAGAGGGAAAAAATGGCAGGAAGATTTGTAGCCAACAGAGTGATGTTCGTATTCAATTAGTTGCAGTGATTATGCGCATTACAGTTTATTATTTTATTTATTCATTTTTTCAGTCTACATGCTAACTTATAATTTGTTAAGTTCTATATAAAAACAGGAAACTTTCTTCAGTTGGTGAAAAAGAGCTGACTCTGCATTTTGTAACAACTTTAATTTTCAGAGCATAGACCCAGTGACAGTTGAAAAGTCTCACATTCCTTATTAGTTAAGAAACTCATTAATGCTTGTATCTGTGAAAAAGTTTGAAAATCTGCCTTTAATAACCAAAATGATGGCAGAACATCATTACATGATCAAAATCCTGTATTTCAAGAGAGAGAGAGACTGTGATGCAGCTGCTAGTTTCTAAGATGGTGGTGTGCAGTGATAAATGAAAGGCGGACGGACTCATTAAACTTGTATTTGGACACCTTAAACTTTTCCACCTTTTGTTTTGCCACAATCATACGTTTAATGAAATTTGTTGGGATTTTAGGCGACAGACCAACAAAGTTTTATGTTGTTGTGATGTGAAATGTGCAGGTGCGGCATGCATTTTTATTTTTTGTCCTTAAGTAACTTTGCTAATGATCTGGTGGCCTGCATAGGGTCATCATCCATTTGGAATGCCAAGCTTTGACATAATGGCTTTAGTGTTCATTCCTCTTGGTGCCATATATTTTCAGAAATGCACCAGGCTCTCTTTAAGCAAAACGCCCACATGCCTCTTTGTACATTGCATTGTGTTAAAAGTTTAAGTGCATTTGCAAACGGTGATTTAGCTCTTATGTCGGTCGTAATCGTTTCTTCCTCTATGAGTGGAGTTCCAGCCCATGCCAGTGCAGTTCTTATACTCTGTAATAAAGACACTCTCTTACAGCCTTTAACCAGCATCTTCACAAGGTCTTTCTATTTTATTTAATAGAAGCTGATGTATACTGTTTACGCTCTTAGATGCTCATCTCCAGAACAAAGGTGTATATCTCCATTTATTCTTTAAACCGATGAACATGGCACTTTCAGAAATTTAGACATTTTCCCCAAGGATGAACCAGACTTATGGTCATTCTTCTTTTCCTGATGTCTTGATTGATTTGTCCTGAATTCCTCTTGTTTATGCACAAACTTACAATTTAGGGTTTAACCCTAAATTACTTGCATAGATGTGTTTAAAGTTAAGTCAGATGTTGTAAATGAACAATCAGAAGATTAGAATGCCATGAAATAATCATATGGGTTTGAATTAATTTTAATCAAAATAAAAATTTATTTAATGTTGGTTGATTGACAAAATGTTGCTAACTGATTCAAAACGGGGAAATTGTTCGATTTACTACATTTTTTTAAAATGAATTTTCTTTTTAATAACTATTAACTTGATAATTCTGAAAAAGTATAAAAAATCCCCTTCCAGAATTTACCAAAATACATGGCAGTGCTCTCCTCTGATCTGCTTTATGGATAATATGTGCACCGTCATCCTCTCCTTCCTGGGGACTATGATTGAAGCAGGGCTGGCTCAGAAGGGCAACAAAAATGCTTTATGCGAGTTACTTCTGGTAATGTAGAGGGACAACAATTCAACCTTTTATTACTTATTAAATGTACCATTATTATGAAAATCCATATCATTCCAACACAAGTGTTTTTAGTGTTGCTTTAATTTAGAAGAATTTGTCATGCAAGCTCTAATGTGAGTCTGTAGCTTGTGGAGATTCAATTACACATCCATCAGCTGTCTCCTGAGTGGTCAGGGACTTGTAATGTCATCGGACTTTTCCAATATCCGGTGTGCCAGTGTGCCTGAAAATGTTGCACTGCATTAAAACTCAGTCAGGTCGATGTTAAATCCTGATGCCTTTTGCGCTTTAAGGTTTTGGGGTTCTTTTTTTTTTTGTTTCAAGATGCAAAAGGTGCCTGCAGCAAATGTAACAAGGAGCTGGGCTGATGGTGGGATACTTATTATAGCCCTAGTAACAGAAGCGGGATTGGAGGCTGTGAAGAGAGAGCCTTTCAGCGATTGGCTGGCGAAGAGGACCTTTCAAAGCACAGAATTTCATCTCATGAAAGCTTCAGTGCAGCAGGCTGCAGCAAGAGAGGCTGCAGTTTGAGGGTGGGGGGTGGGTGGGGGGAGTCCAGCAGCTCCTATCTCAGTTTATCAATCAGTAGTGGGTTACATCTCTGTCTGAAACACACAGATCTGCAGCATAGATAGCCTGGATTTTTGTGTGAATATGACAGGGGAAATAAAACCCTCAAGAGATGATTTCCTGGCATTATCTGATAAGGCATAATACTTTATAAAGTATTATATTTGTGATTTGTCTAATGGATGTTTCTTTTTTAAGAAATGTGTCTTGTGTATCACGGTTGGCTGTCTCTGCTCTGCAGCGGAAACAGACTCCATCTCATGTGCTCACCCACAAGCACTCAGCGCATTCATCAGTGCAGGTTTATACAACACGTACGGTACCCACCTGAATGTGGATCCAAGCATGCATATATATCACACACTAGTTATGAGACCCACAGTGGGTTATATAAAGTCAGTGAGTTCCTGTGTGGCACTGTGTAGGCAAAGATTTATCCCTGCAGAATGAAGATGAGTTGGTGAGCTGTGTTGATGCATGATGGCAATACATGCCTGAATTAGACAAAAATGAATATATAGAATAATAGTAATAAACAAATAACTTTAATGGACAACAGATGGCAACTCAAACAAAGATCTTGAACCATACAGGCTGCTTCCCATTTTCAACTTTAGGTCAGATCCTCTTGATCAAACTACCTCATAACTTGTACATGCATGATGCCGAGTCACTAAAAGAAGGATTTAAGACAAAACCTAAGAATAACAGCCAAATAATCATAGGAAATCAATCAAAAAATAAAAAAAACAAAAAATGTCTATTTTCTTTGCAATGAATGACAGTCACAGACATTATTTACCTTCACAAAAGAAACCATATAAAGTTAAATCAAACCGTTTCGCTGTGCGAGCATTGGTTTTTCAAGCCGTTTGTCCAACGAGCATTTGGAGACCTTCTGCACTTTGCGACGTTTAAAAATAAATCAAAGCAGCTGTGACATACTGTGAGCTCATGCAGGCTGACTCATGATGGAGACACATAATTGGCATACATGAGCAAGGTTGAATTACTGACCTTAAGGCTTCTGGTTTCCCCCTTTCAACCATCAAACCAGAGATTAGAAAATTAAATATAAAAAAAACTGCTGTCCATGTGAATATATTATCTATAGAAGTAGCAGCATTAAAGACAACAAATCTGTTCAGCAGCTTATTTAGTTTGTTCTAAAGAGGTGAACCCTTTACCGAATTATCAATGCTCTCCCTGCAATGTAATGGTGTGCATTAGTGTTAGATGTGCATATCTTTAACATGCTTGCAGGATTTTAAAAATATTGTAATATATTCCCTTTTTAAATGCTAGAGATTAACTTGCAAATGAGGCATATAAAATGATACAGGCACAGAAATAAAGCACACAAAACAATAAAACGACCTACGAATGAAGTGCTTCCTCCTAAAAGCAAAGTGTACTCATGGGTGACAATACAACAATACACTAGACCACCATGGAAATGGTGCATGTATAATTTAGTCATATTCTTTTTTATTATCATAGCTATTATTCCGATTCTTGTGCAACTGCTACATAATGACTCACATTCAAGATATTTTTGTCACTCAGGAAACAGCTGAAAGGTATAAAAAGAAATAAACTTAAAAAATGAAAAGTATACCGTCAGAAACAAAACATGGTCCATGTAGTGGATTCAAAACAGAAACACCGAGCCTGGAAACGTCACGATTATCATTAAATCTGGATAGCATGACAGAAAAGAAAAAAAAAAAAAAGTACTTTTAAATACTGTTCAACAAAGAAAATATATCATAATCATACTTCAAAGTGACAAACACCAGCTGGTAAGATTAAGTAAGCACTGGTGGGTATTTTTTTTTTTTTTTAATCATTCATTTTTTTCTTTCATTAACAAATTAAATACACATATTGCATGTCACTAAAGCAACGCCCATTACAGGTCTATTTTTACGATCACCATTTTGGTATAGCAAATCAGAAAAAATTGAAAAATAAATTAGAATCAAAAATAAACATCAGACAAAGCCTGTTTTCATATGAATACTTAACACCCACAGTATAAGTTAATAAAGTCAAGCTACTGTATATAAATACATCACCAGCATGCACAATATTGAAGCGATATTATTGTTGTTGTCATCTTACACTGAAGAAACAGTATAGTAGGCATGTGCATTTAATAAAACAAACACAGAAGTAAACCACAAACTCTGAAGCTGCTTTTATCTTTGTTTTTTTTTTGTCTTTTTCTTTTAGCAATTAGTTTCGTTAAGTCTCTGCCTTTAATAACCCTCACCTCCGAAAAAGAATCGATGGTTCCAGTAACACAACAGACTTTATCTGTAGGATGCCAAAATCTGCTTAATTAGCAATAATTACTTAAACTTTTTTTTAACAATTCGGTAATTCAGTGCTGTAAGAATGTAAGCCGTTCTTTTTTTTTTTTTTTTTTTTGACGTTTTAGTGTCTGATTAATAGCTTTCATGGACCTCATATCTACTACAGGAACCAATGCAATCTAGTCTTCTTGTGAGGCTTTTTTTTTTATTTCCCCAGTCAAGCATTTTCTCTCTCAAGTGAATCAAATGCATCTCTATCACGCAAAAATCTAAGTAAGCAGCTTATCTCGACAGAACAAGATCAGTTCCTATGCCAGTGTGAGGCTGCCATTTCAATCCAACAACAACCACTTCAGGCTGATTGACTGACATATCAGTGGTTTTTGGCAAATGTCAAAGAGAAAACCAAGAAGACGGAGGCCCTCCCTTTCCAACTATCATATATATTTCTATATATATTTAAACTAAGATTTTAACCTCCCACTCTCACCTCTCTTTTTGATTCTTTTCTTTTAACACATGGAAAAATAAAGAACTGGTGCTGCGGTAGTTCATCGGCAAAAGCGGCTGCCAAAGTCCACCGGCCCTTCTTAATTTTTTTATTTTTCTATTTTGGAAGCGAGGCCTCCCTTTAGTTGTTGCCCTCCCCTCCCTCGTCATCCTGCTGGTCACTTGTCCACAGTGTCAAGTTGTCTCGGAGCAGCTGCATGATGAGAGTGGAGTCTTTGTAGGAGTCCTCGTTGAGGGTGTCCAGCTCGGCGATGGCGTCATCGAAGGCGGTCTTGGCCAGATGGCAGGCTTGCTCCGGGGCATTCTGGATCTCGTAGTAAAACACAGAGTAGTTGAGAGCCAGGCCCAGGCGGATGGGATGGGTAGGCTGCATGTGCTCCTTGCTGATCTCGTGGGCCTCGTTGTAGGCCTTCTCTGAGGACTCCACCACCGTGGCCCTCTTCTCGCCGGTGGCTACCTCGGCCAGGTACCGGTAGTAGTCGCCCTTCATCTTCAGGTAAAACACCTTGCTCTCATGTTGCGTGTCGCTGCAGTTTTTGATCAGGAAGTTGTCTAGCAGGTTGAGCACGTCCTGACAGACCGCCTCAAGCTCTTTCTCGATCTTCTCCCGGTAGGCCCTCACCATCTCGATCTTCTTCTCGTTACCGTCGGCGGATGTTTTCTGCTCTATGCTAGAGATCACTCTCCAGGAGGAGCGCCGTGCACCCACCACATTCTTGTAGGCCACAGACAGCAGGTTCCTCTCCTCGTTGGACAGAGCCTCGTTCAGCTCCGTCACCTGGAAGACAGGCAGCAAATACTTTGAATTCTAAAGAATCACACTGAATGATCATTGATATATTTCAAAAGGTTTCCCCTATAAATTAAAGTGGAAGTGGAACTGAAGTGGAACTACAGTCCCTACAGAAAACAAATACGTCCAGTGATCTGTTCAGTTTAAAAGCTCTTCACCATAACTGCAGATAGCACAAATAAGACAGTCTACTCCATCATCACAAAGTTCTCACCACCCTTCCTGACTTTAGGATGTTGATAACTAAGATCTCAACCATATGAGAGTTTACAAATAGAAAGGCAATGGAAATTGCTAAAGAGATTAATTTAAAAGCAAGGTTTTAATGTATGGAAGCTGAAATACTGCAGCTACCCAAATATTGTATCCAAGCAGCTTTTTGATTCATTGGAAAACCTTGATATTACCATACAGAATGTTTACCTTAAATTGCTCAGTTAACAAATAGTTTCACTGCAGTGTGTCTTCATCTCAATTCCCAAAGCATCCTGGTCAAAGACATGGCTTGTCATTGCTAAATAAATTCCTCAAGCTGTGAAGCCAACTCAGACCTATAAGGATGGACTGGCATCTCAGGCATTGATGGGTCTACTTTAACGATACCTCAATTGGAAGTCCCTTCTAATGGAAAACAAACCTGCAGCCACCCTCTGGTGCATAAAGATCATTAACAGATGTAGATATCCTACACAAACATGCCTTTTAAACTCAAACCTACATTGTGGATATAAAGGAAGGCGCTGTGGAAAACTCAACAGATGCAGTTTTAGACATTAAATAACTGACAGAAACCTTGTTTAAGTTTAAACATATTGGTGGGACTTTTTCAGATTTTAACCAAGGTTGTTGTTAACATAAAATATATATAAATGGGCATGACATCAAAACCCTTAAAATACCCACCCAGTCTACTGTAATTAAGCCAAAGCCTAAACCTTCAATGTCAGGTAAGCCCCGAATAAGTGGGCTGATAAAGGGCTGGGAGCCTGTGACTACCTTGCTTGGTGGGTTGACTTTAACCCCCTGCTGACTCAGACCTCCCTAAAACAGGAATGTGTAAAATCTGGCCCTGCCTTTGAGGAGCCAAAAGTAGGGCCAGATATAAAGAAAAATAAATAAAATATGTTTTAAATAAGTGTCAGAAACCTCCCAGTGGGTTAAACATGTGAAATATCTTTAGTTTTATCTAGAATAATTGTTGTTGAGTGGTGCATTCAGCTGAGCCTATCTAATTTGTGTCAAAGATTGAGTAAAAGTGTCTCTGAAGGAGCCATTAACCTTAAATCTTTTGGCCAGCTTGCCATCGTCATGCCACAAAGTTAGCCCACCTCCTCCTCAGTTAGCAAATATGGGGCTCTGATAACAGTGACTGTAGCAGGTTAACCTCGAATGCTGAAGTCACTGTTTGTCCTCTTAAAATAGAAACAGAGACAGCAAAAAAGCATCCAACTCCTGGGGGGATTTGTTGTAAAAGAGGCTTTTGATAATTGAAAGCTCTTTAGTTTAGATAAGAGAAAAAAGATCCTTCTTTTCATCTACCTCCTTTTCTCTGCCTCTGATTCCAATGAAATCCTCCCCCTGAGAATTATCTTTAATAATGATTTCTCTGGAGGAAAGAGATTATTAGATTAGCTAGCTGTACTCCTTTGGCTGCAGACCATCCTTATTCCACAGCAAAGAGGGTGAACAATATTTCACTCGTCATGCCCAATTCCCAGTTTCCATGGCAATCCATTCATTAGGTGCACCAGTAGCTCCAGCTGCCACGTGTGCAGCTAATGCCAGTTGGCCAGAAATCATATCCAAGATAGTGGGGGGGGGGCATGAGAAGGGGGATTGGAGACCTTTAAAATATTCTCGCGAGCATGTAAGGAGGGGCGGGTGCAGTGTAAGTGAAAACCATCACTGCGCTGGAGGTTCACATGTCCCATTGACCTTCTCTCTGGCTCAAAATGACCTTTTTTACCTTTTGTGACATCACTCTGAGCTGGACTGTTATATTTAGAATGGGACGCATCAGTTTACAATTCATGTGTATAAATTAGCAGATAAAATTAATCGGATAGTGACTAATGTGGGGGGGGGATCATACAGAAAACTGATGTGAGGACTATTTCATATTTCATGAGCAGTCTTATCTCATTCAATATGCAGTCAGGATGAAAGATGATGACGTCACAGAAAATGGGTGGAGAGAAGATGGACCTGTCCAAGTTTGCATTCATTCGTCAGCTGTAAGTTCAAAGACGAAGCTACCTCCATATCAATTTTTCATGGGGCTAACCTGAGGGTGACAGGTCCACCCTGTTTGTCATGGGGGTGAGGGATTCCCCTCGATTAGAGGGTGAGCATTTACATCCTGCCAGGGTTTGGCCCTCACTGACACAGGAGATCGTATAATAATTTTTTTTTTATTAATTAATCAATTAAAACCCTCTTTCTTGCACAAGAGGAGGAGGCTTGCATCATACCAGAAAAAATGGTCCTCCATTAACAGAAATGGGGCTAAAGGAGGCTGCAAGTTCCAATGACACAGCATTTCTTGAGCCCCCTTATGCCAGAGAAGGGTCACAAGAAAAAAAGAAGGAAGGAAGGAAGACAAGTAGACAAAGGACTTGTCCTCAGCAGTGACCAATAGGAACTGGGAGTGCTAATGTGAGGCAGCCCATCCACAGCATCCTCCTCACATCAGCTTTTAAATCAGCTGAAAAAGGATGATAAAGGAGAGAACCTGATCAAACTGCAATATGACAGAATATTCTGCTGCTATCTTTGTTAAAATGAGAGAACAGCTCCTGCAGGGCGGCATTTCCTATAAATCAGGCTTGTTAGAATAAAAGCATTTATACGGTTTTAAAAAGGAGCCTTTGTACGTCTCCGTTATCTGTATAATTTATGACAAAGAGAGGAGGACAAGACAGGAGGGAGTGGGTGTAAGGGGGAGGAGGTGGTGGAGGTGGAGGAGGAGGCAGCAGTTGATGGGCTTTTTCTAAGGAAAAATCATTATGGAGCATCTCTTGCTCCATAATGGAAAAAGAAGGAATGAGGTGGTAGCAGAAAATGAATGAAAATATTAAAAAATGATGTTAATGAATCACAGCAGGACTTTTCCACTGATGAGAGGCTCTTATCTGAGCCCAGGCCTGCATGCAGGCACCGCCCAGTGAGCAGAACAGGGTTTGGACCCAACCAGAGGAGGATGGGGGGGTGAACTGCAGCTCAGCTGATGACAGCGCAATACAAAAGATTTACGGTAATTTTACAGCAGCTTGTGAGTGCGGTTAAAATGGAGCCCATAAAGCGCAAACAGAAGCACATTTCGTCCTGCTGGGTTCAGACTTACCGACTTCATAGCTGCTGCCATATCATCATATCTCTCAGCCTGCTCAGCCAGCCTGGCTTTCTGCACCAGCTGCTCGCGGTCCACCATTTTCTTTAATGATTAGCTGGGGAGAAGTTTGCTCGGCCGAGCTGCGAGACGTGGGCTTCGTGGATGAAACGCCTGATAATGTAAATGGCAATGCAGTGAGATCCAAGGCGAACCGAGTGCTGCAGCTGTTCCCTGCTGTCTGTCTGAGCTCAGCGCAGACGGGACACCCTCTCTTTTCTCTCTCTCTCTCTCTCTCTCTCTCTCTCTCTCCCCTCCATGACTCCCTCCTCCTTCTCCTCACTAACTCCCTTCACGCGCTGCGTCATCACCTGGGAAGGTGGGTGTCTATAAAAATGATGTAACACTCCATACATGGGAGCTAGAGAGGACCAGCATTGTGGGCTGGATGGGAGCAGAGAGCAACAACGCGCTAAAAGCATCATGGGAAATGGAGTTCTCTGAAGCGGCAGCATGCTGGAGCAGAAAGTAACGGTCTCATGGCGGTGCTCTGTCAGACCAGCATACCCCGACAGATCAGCATACCCATAGTCAATACCCGTTTATTCTTTTAGTTTTGTACGAAAATACAATTTAAACCACCTTAACGGACGTGTATCCCGTTAGAAATGCAGGGGCGGAGCTAGATGGGGGGCCAGGGGTGGCCATGGCCATCCTTACCCAATCATTGGCCACCCCTACCATTTTTCCCCCATAATACTGACAGTGGCAGCAGTAAAACCCTCAATATTCACTACTTTTTAATTTGTCATAGATTAACAATTACTTGACCACGAAAAAACACTGTGGTTAATCATACACATCAATATACTAGTTTTAAATATGATAAGTACAGAATTCCTGCTATTTTCATAGCTAGATGTTTTGTTATATGGGGTAAAGAGAAAATGCAAATCAGTATTCACCTAAAACAATAGATAAATGACTATTCTAATAAAAATTTAGCAAATAAGCATTTTTTTAGATATTAGTACTTGCAAATATCAATTTTATGCAGAATGATTATTGATAAAAGTAGCTAACTCATTATGATGGAAAAAATGTTCAACCCAGAACTCAAACCTGAAATAACTTTTTCCACGAGAACTTTTATCTAGATGGTTAAATGTATGCGTCTATTTGTTAGCAAAGGCTGTAGTAATTACTTACTTTTTGGTGTTTCTTGAAGTGTGTGTCTTTTTTGTACATGAATAAAGGGAAACACGCCTGTTGAGGTAATTTAAGGTGTATTTTCGTACAAAACTAAAGGGATAAACGGAGATAAACTAAAGGGATAATGCACATGTGTATTTATAATGCATATGCTGGTCTGACGGGTTATGCTGATTTCACAGAACAGTGGCTCCAGAGATTTTTTTCGGTAGGCGCTAAGGTTGGGGAGGGGTGGCTTAGTGAACTAAGCAGTGATTCTCCACAAGGGGTACGCATTCCCCTAGTGGCCCGTGAGTGCATTGCAAGGGGTACATGAAAACATTGAATTTCTTATGTATTAAAATAAAATAGGGTTGGGATCTGTTTTGCTTTGTGAAGTTCAATTAGAAAAATTAAACAAGCTTTTATCAACCAGAAAGTAAGTTTTTAAATTATATGTTTGAGTTCACCTTTAGCTTTGGCACACCAAAACCAAGCAGAGGAACAGGCTGGATGTAGAGAACAGCCTGGGATCAGCTGTTTTTCCACACTGAGCTGTTGGAGCTCATCAAAGCAGCTCAGGTGTCTTGATGAAAACAAAGTAAAATGAATTAAGCGAGTTTGACTATAAGTTTTTTTCCAAATTTATTCAAGTTTAAATAATTGATTAGTGATAACTATAAGTGATTATAAGGGAGTTACTCAGAGCAGCTCCAGTTTTATAAATAGAGTTTATGACTTTATTTTGTATTTTTTTAGATTCCTTACTAACTTCCAGGAAACATATTAATTTGTTATTTTATTTGAGATGGAAAGCATAAAAATAATGAAATGCTCAAAATAAAAGATTAGATAAAATTGTCTTTATTTTATAATCAGTTATTATCAGAGATGGGAAGTAACGAAGTACAAATACTTCGTTACTGTACTCAAGTAGATTTTTCTGATATTTTTACTTTACTTTACTACTTATTTTTATGGCGACTTTTTACTTCTACTCCTTACATTTTTACACAAATATCTGTACTTTCTACTCCTTACATTTTAAAAAATTGGCTCGTTACTTTAGTTTTGAATCATTTCAATAGAGTTACCGTTATTATTTTTCACGTCATCAATACCAAATTCAATCTAATTGGATGGGAATCTCCCTTGCATTTGACGCACCACTACAAGATGAATCGACAGATTCGGCGGTATTCATTGGTGGCAAATCATTGCAGCTTGGTGGCGGTGGCGTTAGCATAGTAGCATGGACGACGAGATGATTGAAAATGAATACAACGGAGATCTAGTCCTATTGGCAGACATCCATTTAAAATGTAGGCAACGGCATGAAAAAAGTGGTTTCTACTTTTACTTTTATACTTTAAGTAAATTTACAAGCCTGTACTTTGTTACTTTTACTTGAGTAAAGAAGTTTAATCAGTACTTCCACTTTTACCAGAGTATTTTTTAACACAAGTATCTGTACTTTTACTCAAGTACGGAAAGTGAGTACTTTTGCCATCTCTGGTTATTATACGTTACACTTTGGGACAATCATCAAAACTTTTGACTGAGAGGGGTACTCATGGTAAAACCAAATGCCTAAAGGGGTACAAAGTCAGAAAATGTTGGGAACCACTGCTTTAAAGGATTGAAGGGTCTGATGTTGCAATAACATAAAGAAGATGGATTCACTTCTCTGACTTCTGCAACAGTCAACTTTAAGATGCATAATGAACACAAGATATTCAATTGTGTAGAAGATCCACTTTGGAAAGCCAGAAAAATCATGGTTTTTAAGAAATACGAAATGCCTGACTCTACTGTGAAGTGTTGTTTATGTAGTAAAAGATTATATGTTAAAATATATCCTTTGTAAAAAGAATTTGAGGAAATTAAAGTATTGTGGAAAATACCAGCAATATACTAGGAGCTGTGCAAATAACAATGAGGTAACCTTGCTATGTAGAATCTCTGCCACCATCATTTCTGTCCCAAAGAAGCCTCAGGTCACCTCATTCAATGATTACTGGCCAGTTGCGCTGACTCCCATCGTGATAAAGTTCTTCGAAAGGGAGGTTAAAGAACACATCGTCTCTACTCTCCCTTCAACATTTGACCCGATCCTGTTAGCCTACCGACGGAACCGCTCCACTGAGGACGCCATCTCCTCTGATCTTCACCTGAGCAAACCTGGAGGAGAAGAACACCCACGTGTAGATGCTGTTCCTGGACTTCAGTTCAGCTTTTAACACCAACATCCAATAGCATCTGATAGGGAAACTGGAACAGCTGGGCTTCAATACAGCCCTCTGCAATTAGCTGCTAGACTTCCTCACCAACAGATCTCAGTTAGTCCAGGTCGGACAGAACACCTCTGATGTCATCACTCTAAGCACAGGCTCCCCTCAGGGCTGTGCCCTGATCCCCCTGCTGTTGCCCCTGATGACACATGACTGCTTCCCCAGGTTCACCACCAATCACATCTTGAAGTTTGCCGACGACACCACAGTGTTGGGCCTCATCGTTGACATCAGGAAAAATTAGCCTAACCACATCATCAACAGCTCAGCTGTAGAGGTGGTCAACAGAACCAAATTCCTGGGAATGCACATCACAGACAATCTCACCTGGACTGTAAACACCACCTCACTGGTCAAAAGGGCACAGAAGTGCATGTACTTCTTGCAGAGGATGATGAGAGCCCACCTGCCCCCACCCATCCTCACCACCTTTTACAGAAGCACAATAGAGAGCGTTTTGATCAGCTGTCTCAGTGTGTGGTGTGGAGGCTGCAGCGCCTCAGACTGGAAGAAAGGGAGGAAACTAGTGAGAACTGCAGTGAATATCATTGGGGCTCCTCTTCCCTCCATTTAAGACATTTCATCCCAGCGCTGCATGCCTTCCCCTCCGCCATCAGACAGCTGAACTGTTGAAAAAACTCTAAATCATATTACAGACTCTGCATCACACTAATAACACCAAACCAAAATCCTGCATATTTGCACCATACATATTTAATGCTCTGAACTTCCATATCAATGCGTTTTTGCACCATGTTTTTTTCTCCCACACTGTTTACAGTTGATCACTGCTGCACTTAATGTGATGGAAATGTTTATTTCACTGCTAAGCTGCTGCTCATTTACTGCCTGAAAGCTGTACAAAAATGAAATTGCATTTTGTGTACACATAGTGTATACAAATAAAATTGTCTAAATCTAAGAAATGAAAAGAATGTTAAGAGTATTGCTATTGTATGTACTCCTTTTATGTTTGTTGTCTTCCTGTTACATGTTCATCTTTTTTGTAATTTATTTGATAAAAAAACAAATAAAACTTGTGAAAATATTCTTCTATTCATCAAAACACATCTAAACATGGCGTATGTATAGGGAGTATAAAATAGATTGAAAGCTGTAACAACAATTTTACAGTATGTTTTCATGTTCTGGGAAAGCAAAATGCAGTCATGGTGAATTCAGCACTGGCATGTGGTGAAGTACATTTATTGTACCTTATCAGTAATGGATTAATCATGAATGGTTACACCAGATGTTCAATGGTAAGGCAAGATCATATTCTCAAATTAATTTAAACATGATAAGGTTTACTAGCTGGGAATGGGGTATTTAATAGAGAGCAAGGAGTGGCTTGATTATATGTAACAACAGCCCAAGCCTCCCACAAAATGTATTTAGACTTTGGTTCAGTTTGGATTGAGAATTGGAACAACATATATTTGGTTCAACAATGGATCCTTAGTAATGACTTGGATTATACTGGATCCGGCTCTGTGTCAACATTCTGGCCTTCGGAAGTACATCTGGACTTATTCCAGGATGCTTTTCATGTGAAGCAAATTCCATTTGTTTTGGTTTAGTGGTTTCAAGCCATCAAAGATAATGCAGAAATAGCTTTGTACGTTAGACTGATCAAACAGAAGTATATCAAGAATACAATATCTTTACGTAATACATTCATTTTAATAACGTATTTATTTATAAAGACTGCTTAATATGTAAAAAGAATTTTAAATTTTATATTTATTCCTTATTTGTCTCTTGACATCCGAGGATCAATGAAGTGCATAG